AGAAGTGTCGAAACAGTAAGGGGGAAGGCTTACCGGTATTTATATAAGCACCAGTAGTCAGTAGATACAGTTAATAAATTAGCACCAATACAATTTACTAGGTACTAACAATACACTATAAAGAAAGATAGCACATAAGCAAAACTAAGGTTAAAAAAATTGTGTTTATTATTAGTATACCTATTTGTAATTTGTTTTATTATTTGATTATAAACCATGTATCATGATGAAGGATGAACCTACTACATGAAAAAAATATAAAATACAAGTAAGACGCGTTGAGCAAGTAATTGAGTTGTTTAGATTCAACGATAGACTGGTTTTATTTTATAGATATATTTATTATATGTAAGAAAACATTCGAAGTGGATGCTTCTCCCATACTTGGTAATATTTTAGCACCGCGCACCGTTAGATTTTTAATTCTGACTTCTGGGCAGAGCGATGAATGTATTGATATAACAATGATTGATGTGTATTATTTTTGTCTCTATACACTCTAACAGTAGTAGAAAAAAAGCTTAGATTTTCTTTTTTGGTGGTATTTTCTGTTGGAAAATAGAACTAGTTGGTAAATTAAAGAGGTCAAAATTGAAAATTCCCCGTACTTATTTTAATAATTGTTAGAAAAAACAGGATAAACCAGAATTTGTACACAAAACTAATTTTTGACAAAAACTAAATTGTTTTTTTGGTGAAACTCAAAAACAAAAAATCTGTAGATACCTGAAATTTACACCAAATGTTTATACTAGTATTTCTGTACACGATAATATTTTGACGCTTTTTGAGATATTTATAGACATTAAATGTAACAATTTTGATTTTTTCAGTTTTTTCTTCTTTGAATGTCAACAAAAATGTTTTTACTGTGACAAAAAGTTTGAAAATTGAATTCAAGGTTTTTCATAAGTCGTTCATAATATTAATTTCAAACCAACATCCCAAATAAAAAATATCGAAAATACATAGTCCAAATATGTTTTTATACGCGTTAAAAGTAGAAAGTTAGAATTTTTACGAAATTAATCAAAATCTCGAAAATCTGCAAATTATTTTGTATTAATTTCGTATCTCAATGGATTTTTTATATTTTGTTGTAATTAAAAAACGAACAACTGCAAATACCTATTTTCACCAAATGTTTATTTTATTATTTTACCTATAGACATTTCAAATTTTCAAATTTATTTAGTTTTTTTCTATAAATATGTATCGACAAAAATTGCTTACATTGTCAATAAAACTAAAAAATTTAACACCGCGCTCCTCATAAGTTGTTATTATGTCAATTTAAAAATATCATAAATACATAGGCATCATTTTTTTTCATTTTTTTTTGGAGAAATTTGTTTTCTTTCTCTGGCCCACTCGCAACATGGGAAATTTTATGTTCGCAATTTCACAATAATGATTAAAATCATGATCATTTCTAAAATTAGAGTGAAATAACCTCGTATAATATTTCAAGGCAAGTAGTTTATTATCTAGGGCATCTCCAAGCCGTCTTATTATATTTTAATTTTAAAGTGAGTTATGAATATTTTACTAAATATTGCAAGAAGAAAACAATTGTTTTGATAAATGATCAATTTAATTATTTAATTGACTCACGAAATATTTTAAACATTTTTTTCTCAGCTTAATGATGACAATTATTGATGAATATCAATTCAATATACAAATAAAAACTTTTAAAAATACCTATGCTAAAAATATATTTTTAAATTAATTAGGAAGAGCTCAGGAATTTATTCACGCTATTGTTCACTTCAAATAATTAAAAACAGAACCTTGAAATTTAAATCTGGTTCAATCGACTCTGGACACGCTTAGGTGATCTGCAGTAAATAAATCAAATGAATGCTCATAGTCGAATGGTTGGAATAAATAATGGATTTACTGGATCACTATAATTAATTTTTCTACAACGTCGAATGATTAATATTATATTGATATAGGGACCTACTATCTGATAAAAAAAACCAATTCTAATTACTGAGTACTAACCTATGTGTGACACATATCTAATATGCGACACCCTCCTTCCTGTAAAACACTATGTGGGTTGGTACATACTCACCAGTCACCAAATGTGACTGCTAACTAGTAACTGTTAGCAAATATTCAACGATTTATTCGAAACCTAATAGCTACGATAGAACAGAAAACTATCAAAAATGAATAAAGAAAATCGGGATTTAATAGATTAGTCAGTGAGACATGTAATACTCAATATCTACGGTAACAAGGATTCTTTTTTCATAAGGGGAAAAAAACAATCAATTATTAGATCCCAAAACTGTTCGAACATTATTAAACTGTGACAATTAAAGACTGTGTATTTCGGCTATTTTATATTTATATAGGTGGGTAGATACTTTTCACTTTTCGGTGAATATAGTATAAAATCGGTGTACCTATTTAAAAATGTCTTATAGACTATAGTGGACGAGACCCTTAAATACACAATACACCCTTGTGGTACAACTGTATACCTATGTAATATACATACCTACAGACTATTACCTACTATATTCTTATTAGTCTAGTGCTCTAGATAGGTTAGGTTGTAATGTCTTTTTAAGCTAAACTTAACTTACTATACAGTAGTAAAATCAATTAATTAACTTATATGTAATCCAAGATTATATTATAAATAGTTTAAACTTTAAACATTTAGTTCTTCGTTGGTGGAGTGTATGAAAACTTATGTTTCTAGTCTTAATTTGAAATTACGTATTGCGCCACTAACGTGTCGTGGCGGGCAGCAGCTGGTGTTGTTGACACGGATAAGACTGGCTTATTTTATTGATAAGCTCTGATAAAGAAGTTTACATTTTGAAGAACACTGTTTTTAAAATTATAAAACGTAGTAGGTATTATCTTTATCTATAAACGTTAGGCGGTTATTCAACCATTTCAAGTTTCAACTACCAAAATGAATAATTGAAATATTTTATAACGTTGTTAATAATTTTCAAAATGTTTTGAACTTAAGTATAATTCGGTCGTTATGAATTCAGATTTACCTCCATTTTGTCAGCCTGGACCTTCCACGTCAAAAGATGAAAACCATCCACGAACAAATACTGATGAAAAACTCCAGTTCCCTCCTTACCACTATCAAATGGATGAAGCACAACCATCTACATCTGCTGCACAACTTACATACCCAGTGCCTCTATCACCTTGGCCAAACAGTCAAAGTTTTCCTCCGTATATGACAATAGCGGTAAATCCCACACAGCCATCGTCATATATTTACCCACCAACTTCTAGCTTAAGACTGCCACCTGCTGAACAAGTACCACCAAACTGTTTAGATTGGACCATTAATCCTATTAAACCCCCACCGCAGCAGTTTAAAACTACGTCGGAGCCATTGTTTGCACTTGGATATAATTCAACCATATCAGAAAATTGGATGGAAGGAGATGAAGGTCTTCAGTACAGTATTAAAAATTTCACATTTTGCACAAAAAGAATAAGCAGTATTAATACGGCCACTAGCTCGAGTCAAGTAAACGAGTATGACTCTTTGCTCGTCTCCATCCCTCAGGTATCTTCATAATTTGATTTTTTTTTTTCAATATCTAACAAAACCTATTCTAGAAATTATTAAACCTAAGCTCTTAGGTATCTAATTAATATAACATTAATCATATTTTTGTTAAAGGCTCTAGAAGGAGATTATCATTATTATGTATGGCCTGCATCACCTGTACTCGCATGGATTATATGGGAACATAGACTTGAACTGCCTGGAAAGAAGATATTAGAAGTTGGTTCTGGAACTTCTTTGCCTGGTATAGTAGCTGCCAAATGTGGAGCTATTGTTACGTTAACTGATGATCCCACTATACCCGGAACTATCAAACATGTTCAGAAATGTTGCTACATGAACAGCTTGTATCCTGAACAAGTAAATGTTTTTACCATCTATTTTACTAGTTATTTATTTTTTCTAATGAATTTTTTATGTATAGATAAGAATACTTGGATTGCAGTGGGGCTACTTTTTCCGTGAAACTTTAAATATTGGACCATTTGATTTGATTATTGGTTCAGACTGTTTTTACGAACCAAATATGTTTGAGGATCTAATTGCAACTATATCATTTTTATTAGAACGTAATCCACTGGCCAAGTTCATGACAACATATCATGAAAGAGACCCAGAATATGGAATTGACGAACTTGCAGCAAAATGGAAACTTAATTGTACACACAAACCACTTGAAGACTTGGGTCAAAATAATGAGCTAGATATTTATGAACTTATGAAAGGAAATGATATTCATTTAATAGAAATTACCAGAAAAGTATTTTAAGAAAATGAAACCTATTATTTGTTATTCAGTGATTTATTTTATTCCGTCCAGAATTCAAAATATTTAATTTTAAAAAAACAAACTAACAGTAATCTTTAATTAATAAATTGTAATATTTATACATTTTTTAAGAATTCATATCATGTTACCTATTTAAATTAATATTTTATTTTTCAAAAATATTTTGTACTGATATTGTTAATGTTAATTTTAATAATTGAGAATACATTTTGATACCTATGTATATAAAATGATTATTTAAAAGATGCTTACTATTTTTTTGTCAGATAGAGCCACATAGGCATAATTAGAGGGCTGGAGTCCTGAAATTTTTTTATTGCAAAATGAGGACAGTACTCCCTCTTCACACATTTGAATTACTATTAAAAATGTTTGTCAGTTTATATTAGACATAATAGATATTTTTTTAATTGTACAGGAAAAAAAGTTGACAATATTATCTGATACATTTGCCCAAAAAGTCTAAATGGGCTTTAAACGATTCTGTGTGCTTTGCCCTTCTACCACTGAGTTATGTCTTAGGGTATTGTAGATTATACTACCCCAACATAATGTATATGAGATACAATTACATTTTATAGAATGATATAATTTATTATACATTAAATTACTTTAGTACTGGAAAATAATATTACCAAACCAAAATATAGTAAACAATAATTTATAAACTAAAGTTTAATTAAAGACAAAAACAACTGAACTCTTTTAAGTATTACATATTAAGTTATGGATATATTAGTATTCATTAAAATTGTTATGAGCAGTTAATTTGGCATGTTCCTGTGCTTGTGTCTGCCCAATCATAATGCAACCACAATCTAGGCACTTAAGTGTAAAACGATTTACATCTGTATACTGTCTACTGGACTTAGCTTCATTAGCTAACATCTGAGCAGCGTCTAACATGCGATCATCATTTGTTGGGAATAATGTTTGAATCTCTCCAGGCTGCAATTATAAATAAATAAAATTAATTAAGTTTATATATTGTAAAAAATAAATACTTACAGTAAAAGGTGATTCCAAATAAAGAGGATCATAATGAATACCGTCATAAATAAGAAATACTCGGTGAGGATAGTCTTTATCTTCACCAAATTTACTAATAGAACCACTTTGAGTATCAATTACTGCAATTTCTATACCATAGAAGTTAGACAATATAGACACCTCAATAGCACCACCCCATGAATTTGGATTCCGAATCCATTCACAATAATCTTCATTTGGTTTTCCAAGTACTGCTTCACTAAATTCTATTTGATTATCTTTTACTGCATTAGCTATTATCTCACGCATATAGTTGCCACTACCCAAATCAATTTTACCTGAAAATCATTAACAAAAAATATTAGGCCCTACATAAAGTATTTTATGATCATTGAACACTTGGACCAAATCTAAAGACTTAAGACAATTTCTCTATAAATAAATAAAAATAATCAAATGACTTATGTACAAATAATATTCACTTTTTTTTTACTCTTTATAAGTTACAGACTTCATTAGAAACTCAGAGTTTTAAAATTATTTTCAGTGCCTAGCTATATAGGTAAATAATAAATATTATTTTAAAAGGATAGATACAATTGTTGACGAGTGAAAAGCAATTATGTAATACCTATTATTTCACACATTGACTCAGATAACATAACATTTTCCCCAATAAAATATAAATATTTAAAAAATTTAATTAATATTACCTCCCAACACAAATCCCATACTGGTGAACAAACAAGAATTATCAGCTGGTACAACTTTACGCAAAATCAGCGGCACTTCGTCTCCTACCTCTTGTTCTGTGACATGCTTTAGAATATTACTCTCAGTTTGCACTTTGAGCTGTTGGACACTAGCACTAGTTGAGTCTACCTCAGCTATGATTGTATCGCCTGACTTAATACCAGCATCTTCAACCGTACCTTCTAATTTTTGTATGGACTTAGGTGGAAAGCCAAATAACAGTTTAATGCTAGCCACTGGAATTTCACTCAGTATTGACACCTGCTCTTTCAAACCAGATATTGGACAATTCAATGGAATTGTCATTGGAAACGTTCCCGAACGGCATTTTAGCCGTAACACTACGTCTGACATTGGTCAACTACGTTTGTTGTAAAACATAATTTGATAAAAATATCTACGAAAATTTACAAAATATAAAATACCTACAATATTACCAAAAATTACTATACATAATACGAAATAAGAATTATTATGAAATTTTGATAAAGAATATTAGAACAAGAGAACTCTGAACTACAGAGAAGAAAATTAAAAACCTCGATTCATCCCATTCAATGATATTTAACAAAATGAAAGTTGAAAAACGTTTGGCAAATATGATAGAAGTACAGTGTGACCAAAATAAATGTATTTTCAAAATGTTATCACAAACTATCAACTATCGAGTATCGACTGTCAAATTAAAAAATAACCGAAGTCAAAATCAAAATAACAATAAAAAATTATAATAATAGAATCGTTGTCACAGACGCAAAGAACTGTTGTGTGAATTATTATATCAATATATAACACCAATTGAATAGGTACCATAGCAATGATAATTGATAGCGCAGGGCGGGGAGATGTACTAATTGCTTAGTGCTAACAATTTTGAAATTAGCTGTAACATGTTTTTGTATCTCGATAATGTACCCGCTACCTGCCTACGATTACTACCATGCCCCTTGCAAAAAGGGTTGCTAGTAGACTTGGAGTACGGGGGGGGGGGCGGCTATTTTAGGTGCCCATTGAAATTAATTTGAAATTTTTTTAATTTTGATAGGAATACCTACTTATTTTATATTATATAATACTTTAAGACATTCATGTATATTGTACCTAATATTATATTATTAAGTAAAAATTATGTTATTTTAAGCTGTGGGTTAACCATTGAAAATTGATTACTATAAATCATGTATGGGACAATCGTATCGTATGTAATGGGTTGTATTTAATTGAAAGTTTGGAAGGGGCTCGTAATAACATAGTACAGGAGCCCAAAATTGTATGTGATGAGTCTGATTACAACGATTAATTAAATAAGCTTTTGGATACCTATGTATAAATTTACAGTCTTACAGAATACATGTAACCAGCGACGGATTGGGCCATAGTGAAATCGGGAAATCCCCGATGGGCCGCGTACTAAGTAAATAGCAGAAAAGTAGACTTAAATATAACCTAATAAATATTACCGTTGATTTTAAATTATTCATTCTATAATCAATGTTATTAGTGATATTACGTAATAACAGTCTATAATATTATAACGTAAAGCGTTGTAAATTGTAATAATATAATGTCTACAACCGAACTGAATAATAATATTAATTATCAATAAGAAATATTAGAAATAACAATAACTATACAAAAAATCAACCTCCGTAAACAGTAAAATAATTGGTTATTCGAGTTGTCGTCGATCAGATGGGCCGGCGGGTTGCGGGTAATCACGGCTTTGAATGATGCAAGTCGTTAAATAGGAATATTTTTATTTTTTATTTATAAATTATATTATTTATATAAAATATCAATCGTCATTCAAAACCTCAGCACTTATCAGCACTCGGCAGTCAGCAGTTCACAATTTGGTTAATTTTACAATTTAATTACTAAGTACTTAACTAGGAATATTTGATAAAATATTTTATATTACAATAGTACCTAATAGTTGTGAATTATAAAATAAAATGGAAATGGATGGATCAGACTGCAATAAAAAAGGAGGAGTTGAAAAAATTCGGTAAAAAAAAACTTCTTTTAGAAGCAAAGGCTTCTAAGAGCCTTACATCATTTTTTTTATTTCATTTTTAGCACACAAATATGTACTCACTCTACCATCAACCCAAATATCATATGAAAGATCTTTTTCTTTCTTAAAAAACATTAAGTCAAGACTTCGTAGTCAACTTTTGGATTCAAAACTAGAAGCTTTCATGTTAATGAATAATGGCCATGGAAAAATAGAAATTAACACTATTAGATTCAGATAAAATTAAAGAAGAATTGCAAAAAGAGAGTTCTCTTTTAAAAAAAAGGAAAAGTGATTTTCATTTATAAATTACATCTGATAACAACTAGGTATCTTATATNCCCAACAAATAGTGGGCCGGTAAAATGGTATATTCCCGGGCTGGTCCGAAGTTCCAATCCGTCCCTGCATGTAACCCGATGTAAGTAGATCGTAGGCATACGATAAATCGAGAAATATTTTGTACTATATTTACAGTGGAGCGTTGATTATCCGCACTAATTGGGACCGGAGAGGGTGCGAATAATCTATTTTTTGCAGATAATCAAGCAACCATTGAAAATTATTTAGGTTCAAACTTCTTCAAACGAACCAACTTAATTTAAGATTACAACGTGCAAATATATTATCTACATTGGAGTGAGCTGTAGTAGATAATAAAATAATCTCGCATTTCATAATATAACATAATAATATATATAACATAGCATTATACTTTATAGTATACGATAAAAGGAACGAATGATAAAACTAAATTAAATTAAACTAAAAATAAATGTTTTCCGTCATCATATAGACCTATTAGTCTACTCCCAATATTGTCAAAAGTATTTGAAAAAATTCTAATTCAAAGAATTCTAAATATTATCAATGAAACAAAAGTCCTACCCGACTCACAATTTGGTTTCCGCAGCAAGCACTCTACAGTCCATCAAATTCATCGAATAGTTGATAAAATATCTTATTCTCTAAAAGAAAACAACATTGCACTAGGTCCTTCTTAGGTGTTTCTCAAGCGTTCTACCGAGTTTGGCACGCAGGTCTGCTATTCAAATTGAAAATCATCTTACCACCTAATTACTACCTCTTAATTAAATCCTACTTAGAAGATCACTTCTTCTCGGTACGTTATGGCTCAGCCACTTCTTCTCTAAAACCAATCAAAGCAGGAGTCCCCCAAGGCGCAGTCATTGCTCCCTTACTATTTAATATTTTCCTATATGACCAACCCACGCTACCTACGAATCTCATAGCTGACTTTGCTGACGACAGAGCACTTTTAGCCACTAGCCATGATCCTACTGTTGCTTTGGCACTAATCCAAGAACATCTCTCACTTCTCGAAAAATTGTACAAGGAGTGGGAAGTAAAAATAAATGAATCAAAATCGACACGCAGTACCTTCACCTTTAGAAAGGGAATATACCCACCTATTACCCTTAACGAGCATACTCTGCCAATCGCAGTGAACACTCGCCACTCGCTATCTAGGCATTATTATTGACCAACCGTCTTACCTGTTCTCCTCATCTCCGTGATAAACTACTATCCTTAAATAATCGTTTACGTCTTCCCCGCTCTCTTCTAACTTCCAACCATACGAGTTTACCTACCAAGATACTAATATACAAACTTTACCTCAAACCAATGTGGACGTACAAAATCCAGTTATGGGGTTCCGCAAAAATCTCAAACATAAACCGCATACAGCGCTTCCAATCCAAAACCCTTCGTACTATTACAAAGGCACCTTTTTATGTATCTAATCAGTCCTTTGTCCTTACACAATGACCTTGCCATCCCACCCGTCCTCGATGTAGCTAGAACTTTTTACAGGCGATTCAATTTAAATGTTCAAAAGTCAAAACCACACCAATCCCTTAATCAAAGGTCTTCCGTCATCAAATATACCTGGTAACCCCAGGAAAAGATTAAAAAGGCGGTGGTGTCGGGACCTACTAATCTAAAAACTTTAAATTGTAATATAATACTATTGTAAGCCCATATATTTATGTACATAAATAACTATCAAAGTGCCTTTACTAAAAGGTTTCCTTAATCTGTACTTCATTCAAGCCATTATTATTTCATCACTTTTACTCATTGTTCTATTCGGTAACAGATTGTAAATTATATAAATAAAAAACAAAAAACAAAATAAATAAATAAATTTGGGTACAAAAATTTTGTAGTGCGGATAATTGAAGGGGTCGGATAATTGACGTGCGGATAATCGACGCTTCACTGTATAATATAATAAACTCAATATTGTGTCCTTATCTACTATCTATAATATAGATTATTATTATTAAATATATAATATAGATTCTATATTATATATTTAACCGAATAATAATAATAGTGACAATAATAAATACCTATTAACGGTGTGCATTATAAGCGTTTATATAAAAAAAAATAGTGCTATGTTATGTGGTAACTGGACGTTTCCCCCTAGTCCCTACCCTTGCTCCCCCCCGGGAATCTTAACGGCACTGGACGTTTCCCCCCCAGACTGAGACGTTTAGCCCCCGACTCAATATACCTTTTTTTTTACAATAGGTTTGAAAATAGGTTCTTTGGATTTACCCGAAATATACGATCATCATAATATATAATATCATTATATCATATTGCCATATCGGCATCTATCGATTATCATCATTCACGTTATTTATTTATTACCCAATTTAATGGGTAATGATTGATGACCCTACCTCAAATTATCTAAACTATTAACAACATTTTTTGCTTTTATGTCTCTTAGTAGTTAGTATAGTTCGTAACATTGCGTATCATCCAAATATTTGGCTTTTTATTGAAGTTCTACAGATGAGCAACTCAAGTGCATCAATCAAAATTTTAAATTATAAAGCAGGAGCTTTTTGTAATAATTTAGGTGAAGATGATAGGTTAAAAAAGTTATGTGAAAGTTTTTCAAATGATGATATTTTAAATTTTTTAACTTCAGTGAGCTATCTTACCAGAATAAAATAATAAAAATATACATTTATACAATTATATTTATTATATTATTTTTTTATTATATTCATTATATTTATACATTAATTTAATAATTTGTACATTTATTTATTTGCATTGTATATTATTGTTGTTTAATATTTATTTTTTTTTGNGTCCCATCCGGGGGGAAAACGTCAATTTTATCAGGGGGGGAAAGGCACGGAGAGGAAACGTCCAAGATTCATGTTATGTGATTACAAATTTACAAACATAAAGTTTTAATATTATAAATTATTGTATTTTTATTGTGGGTTATGGGTATATTTATATAATATATTATTATATTTTATATGAACCTATAATTAGGTAGGTACTATCTATTAGTAAATAGCTGTGACGCCCGGTGTTGTCTGTGCCAAAGATGTTATTTTTTTTATAAAATATAAATGTTTGTAAAAAAATATATATATACCATATAATTATAATAGTTGGTAGGTAATATTATGTAACCAATGGCAACCATTTAAATAAACAAAAAAATATTTGAATTGACTCCCTACAATTTTTTTAAAAAATATATTGGTCACTAAAATGTTGCAAAGTTAGACCTTAGACCAGTGGTTTTCAACCTTTTTAACAACGTAGCACACTTCATCCCCTACAAAATTTTCGCGGTACACCAATCCATATAATACGTGAAGTATATATTTTTATATATAATATATATACACACACATATATATGGGTGCACTATTTACAATGTACTCTATTATAGGGTTAATTATTGTGAAATAAACTAGTACGATGACAAAAAATGTTAATTATTAATAGATTTGTTATTGATACATTTATTGCGGCACACCAGTTGAAAACCACTGCCTTAGACGTTATTTCCTTGAGTATAGTGGCGTCAGAATGATTCTGAATTTTAACACATGGTTTACGGTATCACATTCGTATATTTTGGATCTTTACATTAATAGTTGACACATTACGTTACGTATGTATACTTTTTTTATACAAAATTATTTAGTAAATATATTACAAAGATCTCACAAGAGTGGAGAAAAAACAAAGCTAAGCATAAATTAAAAAAATTAAGACAGAGAATATTATACCTGAGCTTGTCATTACAAAATATATGTATAGTGTATACAAAATAAAATAAAATTATTATACTAAGCTATTTGTCGTGGTCTATACTAATTGGTTAATATTTTTATGTACCTATTGAAATCTTGTGTTTATACCAGCGTAAAATTTTCGAATTTCACTTTCGAACATTTTTATTTTATCTCTATTATCTCTAATTTTCTTCCGGTATGGTTTAATTATATTGGAACTTCTTGAAATAATTTTTGTATCAAATTGAATAGGTACGTACCATATAATATATTCAGAAAGTTAAATAAACTTGTTTCTGGAAATTCAAATTGTGAATTAAATTTGGAATGAAAAGATTCGCACGAGTTAATTGTACGATTTATACTGTTGTTTTTTTCTGCCCCAACTTCTGGTGGAAATGTTTAATCATTGTCAATATAATTTTACTAAATAGGTAATCATTAAATTTTGTTAGTTTTTCATTCATAGGCTGTTTTTCAGCTAATTTGTTTGAAAAGCAATCCCCAACTGATTTTGGAAAATTTCTATCCAAATATATATTTGCTAAATATTGGTCTATATTTTGCATGTAGGACATACATACTCTGATGAAAGACGAAACAAAAATTAATTTTCCCTTTTCGCTAAGCATTTTCTCAACAGAATTCATTTTCATGCACTCCAGAGAACACGTTGTATATACTAACAAAGTAGATCTATTTTGTCATAAATAAAGACAAGTTGTACCATGATTGTCGTGGTCATCAAATTATTGCTATAGTAGATAACGACAATGAGACTTAATTCAATAAATATTTATATTTAGGCTATTTTTTCTTGAATATTATTCTTAGACAATGTACATTTCCATGAACTATGATTCCTATCTAATATTGCAAAATTATAAATTAATGGTCAATGGTTGATGTACAATTCAAAATTTAACAAATTTAATATTTCATGGACCATGGTGCCTATAGGTAAAGGAATTTTCAAGAGGGGGGTGGGCTTGAAAATTAATCTAAATCTTTTTACCATAAAAATAATGTGCAAGAAATCATTTTTTTTTTGGTTCAGTCTAATAAATTCAGAGGTAAGTAATTGAAAATGTTTGTACAACTACAACTTTTGCAAATCTTTCTTTTTTTATTTATGTTGGCTATACCTTATCTGTTAAGACGTTAAGAATAATAAACGTCTTTGGCCCTTGCTTCCTAATTTAATATAGTTGAAACTTGATAAAAATATAACATTAAGTAATACCATTAATACCGTTAATTGTGTGGGGAAGGGAGCTTCAGCTTGTTAGCCTCCTCTTAAAAATGTCACTGGGTTTAGTGTATACTGTATAATGTAAAATTACCAAATTTACTAGATGTTTCTAAGCAATTGCAAATTTATCTACCATTTTTCATACTTTTTTTGTTTATTTAAACAATCTTTGAGGCTATAGCTCTATTAGCTGTCATAAAATAAAGTTTATTTTCAACTTTTAGAGTAATATTTAATATTTGGGCATTTATATAAGTTACTACTTAATTGTAAATACTAGCAATAATAAAAAAACATTCAATTCGATAAAATATTAATCATAAGTAAAAGTTTAAAGTTATATTTTAAAATAATATTTAAGTGTATATACAAATTATAATATTTGTTGAGTTATTAATTATCTGGTTTCAAACTACAATGTCCATTATGTAGGTGTTGTTCAGGTTCATTATGATTGCTTTGCGTAAAATAAGCATTTAAACATTTTTCAATACGATCCATTATGGCATTTAAATCATTACGTGTACCTAAAATAAACAAGTTCAGCATTAAATTTCAGTACAATTAAACTAATAAAGTTATTCAACATTAAGAAATAATTATAATTATTTCTGTCATTAAAATAACAATTGGAGTAAAATTATTAAATGTAAATTTTTTATATTAAGATACACAAGACAATCAACATGTCATCTTTTAAACTTACAACTTCCACCTAACTGGATTAAAGAAAAAGGAAGGTTATTGATTTGTATGAATTGAATTATATAAAGCTATAAAATATTAATATTAAATTGGCAAAGTAGATAATTAAGTAGATTTACTTTAAGAGGAAGGTCTGGCCTAACAATTTCAATCAATTTAAACCATTTTTTTGTTAAAATTGTTGAGTCTGACTTTCCGATTGAGAATAAAATTTAATACTTACAAATAATACGATTACGGATTAATCTTATTTGGTATACATCAATGTCATTCCTGGGAAAGTCTTGGTTATCCACTAAAGGTTCGTCCATACCAACTCTGTGCTAAAATTCAAATTCAATAAATATTACATCTTAAAAATACATCTCATCACCTTAAATAAATGTATTACGTCTGTCTTTCATCTATCATCATATGATACATACTTGGATTGTTTATTTAAACTTAAATAAATAACATATAGTGTGCACAAAATTAATAAGTTTAAGTTTAAAGTTTAAATAAACTATTGTCAGTAAGAATAATTAAGTAATAATAAAAAAAAAATAGAATACAACTCAACACTAATACAAAATGTATACATGTTTACTATGTTACACATATCCAGAACGTAGAACATTGTTATGTACGTCTTTAGGCATTATGTCGGGTTGCACGAAAAATTAATTAGTTTAATGGTTCAATAAAATTTAATAAACCACTAAATCATGTTTAAGGGACCATTAACTGATTATTTATTATATGTTTAGTAATTATTCATGCAAATTCATCTTAGAACATAATTGTAATATTTTAAAATTTGAATATACATGTTTAATTAATTTTTAACTTTACAAATGTACAAAAATTAAATCAATTTAGTTAAAAATCAGTAATTAAATAAAAACTCAATTTCCGTTTACCGATTGCAAAACTTCTCCAAGAGATTTCAATTGTTGTTCAAGTTTTTCTTTTTCGTTCATCATGTCAAGAATTTCTCTTCTAGTTATATTTTTTGTATCAATAGCAGAAGGCATGATTAATCAGTTATTAGTCAATAATAGCAAATATCAAAAAATGTTATATTAACTATAAATGTATAAGAAAGATTGTTGTAAAAATATTATTTATAATTGATACTTGATAATTTATGTATTATCATTTATTATAACAATTAGTATAGATCATATTATTATTATGGACTATTGATGAGGTATCAAGGCACAGACTATTTTCAATTTTGTGATTTGTGATATCTAAGATCAAGATGTTTTCGCACAGTTAATCGGTAATCAGAACTATGGAATCTTAAATTTTTACTTCAATATCTTCTCTACATCGTGATTTTACTCTATGGGTTGAATACAATCAAACAATGGTTAGTGATACACTATCAAACTCGGATGTCTAGGTGGTAATCAATTTGAGCTGTTTGAGGTTATGCCACTTTAATTCATTACTTTAGATTACTTTGTAAACAACGCGGCAACACGTTTTTTCTTTTTCGTTGAATTTTCTAGTATTTCTGTTATTTTTTTTTATTTCATTATACTAAAATGCCCATGCAGAAGAAAAAGGTATGTAAAAGTACATATAATTATATCAAAATGTATTATTATTCATGTATATTTTATATAGTTTCAATCCGGCGAGGGAGCCAGATATGTCACAAGGCGAGCAGCTTTAAATAAACTCCAGCTATCGTTGAAAGATTTTCGTACACTATGTATAATCAAAGGGATTTATCCAAGAGAGCCAGCTCACCGTCGGCGAGCTCAGAGAGGAAAGAGTGGTATTCATATTCTGTACCTGAAAAAAGATATACTGTTCTTGCTGCACGAACCCATGATATGGAAATTACGCGATCTTCAAGTAAGTTCGATCTACGAAATATATATTTTACATGTTTTTAATAACGTTTATTTGTAGGTGCATTTGAATCGATTACGTCGTGCCAAGGGAATGCATCAAAAAGATATGATAAAACGATATGCGAATACTATCCCACGTGTCGCCATTGATCATGTAGTGAAAGAACGATATCCAACGTTCATTGATGCATTACGTGATATGGATGACGCTTTAACCCTTTGCTGTTTGTTTTCCACTTTTCCAAAGTTAAAAAGCATTCCTCCAAACTTAATTGCATTATGCCGCCGCCTTACTGTTGAGTTTATGCATGTATGCATTGCAGCACGTGCTTTACGTAAAGTATTCATATCTATTAAGGGAATTTATTTTCAAGTTGAAATAAAAGGTCAAACTATTACTTGGGTTATCCCTCACAATTATCCACATGAAGTAAGATTTTCATATATTTTCAACCACATCAACTGATTTTTTAATAACAATGCACTTTCTTTTAGCCACAAAAAAAACAAGAAGTTGATTTTTATACTATGGCAACATTTGCAGATTTTTACTCCACTGCATTAGGTTTTGTGAACTTCCGTCTTTACCACAATTTAAACCTATACTATCCTCCACGACTTGGTTCATACAATGGTAATTATTTGAATTCCTTAAATGTTTAATGTTATTCAAGTACAATTTTTTTTTTAGCTGAAAGACTCGAAGAAGAAATTCTAGAAGAAAATGAAACAAGTGATCGTGTAGCTGCATTAAATTTACCGTTACAGAAAACTGCAGAGGATGTTGAAGACCCAGCAGAAGCAGAGTTAGATTTAGATACTTTTGCAACGGTAAAACATGAATTAAATTGTATGATTTTATGAAATTAACTTTTAATTTTTTTTAGGATGGCGATGAATCGAAAGCTGAAGAAGCACGTAAAGAATATGAGAAAGTAAGAAAATTAAAGAAACTGTTTGAAGGACTTAAAGTATTCTTAAACAGAGAAGTTCCCAGAGAGCCTTTAGTATTTGCGCTCAGATGTTTTGGAGCTCAAGTGTCTTGGGATGAAACCACATTCCCCGAGGGTGCTACGTTTCCAGAAACTGATGAAACCATTACTCATCAAATTGTGGATAGACCTGATCTTGAGAAACAGTATATTTCAAGGTAATTTGAATCATTTTTGTCTATGTGATTGATCGTCTTAGTTTTATGTCACTAAAAAATTAACCACTACCTCTTGTCCTAGATATTGCAAGTACACTGTTTTTATAATATAGTATTAACTATTTGTTCATAATACATTAAAAACATTGAATGAGCTACAAGATTTTTTTGTTGTTCCTATAATGCTGCAGTATTATCATTAGGGATGGGCCGATACCACTTATTACCGATATCCGATATTCCGATATATGCTGCCGATATAAAATCGATACCCGATAATATATGGAAATGTTAAACCAACATTTTTGACAAAAAAAACACGAGCCGATACCACCATAAAACCGATACCCGATAACACAAATAATATTACCTAGAAAAGTGTAAACATTGATTATTATAAAATAATCTATAGTATTTGATTATTGATAACCTAACCTGTGCATTTGTGAATTATGATACTATCAATACTATGCTGATCGATAGGTTTTTTTTTTTGGTATCGGTTGAAATATCGGTTTTGAAAAAAAACCGATATCTAGTATCGGCCCATCCCTAATTATCATCATTGTTTATTATTATTTATTTTTAATAGTTATTAATCCCTAATTGCTAGAGAAATAATAACCTATGTGACAACATTTATGATAACCTCATTATTTTACAGATATTATATTCAGCCACAGTGGGTATTTGATTGTGTGAATGCACGTGAACTTTTTCCAGTTGAGAAATATTTTATTGGTACACCATTACCTCCTCATCTATCACCATTTACCGTTGAATATCGTACACAACGTTATGTGCCTCCTGAAGAGAAAGCCTTAACTGACCCGTCTGTAATAGTTAATAAAGGTAAAATATTTTAAAAATAATATATTTAATAATAATATTAAAAATATACTAATACATTTTTATTTTTCTATAGATCAAGAATTGTTGGACGAAATTTCTGATAATGATATTGAAGATATTGAGGACGATAAAAAAGAATCTGAGGATGAAACTATGGATGCCGATGACGAAGATCTAGATGAATTTGATGGGGAAATGACTGAAGAACGATTAGCTGAAATTAAAGTAAATACTTGTTTTTTTTTAATCTTTTATCTTAATTTTAATTTTTTTTTTCCAATTATTTAGCGTAAAAAAATGAAGGTAGAATCTGGTGCACCAGAAGTGATTAATAAAGGAAAGCTTAGACGTGAACATCATCAAATGAAACTCCTTAAAGAAAAAATGATTCAAAAGAAGTACAGAAACTTATATAAAAGTATGAAGTCTGGTAGAATGAAGAGAGAAAAAGAAATTAAATTACTTAAATACAAACGACGTATTCACGAAAGAACAAGTGTTGACAACAAACGTGCTGAGATTAGGGCAAGAAGAGCCCAAGCTGCTACAATGATGTAAATTGTATAATTGATAATTATAAATATTTTTATAAAAATAAATCTTTTAACAGTTAAAAGATTTGTGTTTTCTTTAATTTTATCCAAATTTATACTAAGAATTATACTTTTTTTAAATACTGTTAGCCATAGAAGTTATCATCAAGGTTATAATACAATACATACTATAACTTATCAAGTTATAAATAACTGGCAAGGTTCATTTACTATTCTTTGTATTAATAAAACATATAATTACAGTATTTTATTGCCGAAAATAATTTATTATTATTGAAATACCTAACCTAATGGCTATAAGCTGTAATCATAAAATTATCTATGAACATTTCACAATTTAATAATCACTTCCATAAACCAACTTTTGATTTTGATAATTTTCTGATAAATTTATTAATTTTATAATTGTGTTTTTATTATGTTAGTGTATAAATTGTAGGTATAGTAGAGAAAATGCTTGGATCTTCAACTTCTAATTTAAAGAAAATTTTTTTATATATTATACCTAATATGCGGTTAGCTTGAAGCAAAAATAAGTTCAACCTTCTAATTTAGTAATAGAAAAATAAACTACTAATACAAACAGAGTGATAGAAAGATCTGACTTTTGTTGTAATCAATATTACATTTTTTAAATTTTATTTACAACTTATCCACTTACACTACAAATACAGTTTAAAGGTTTTTTTATTTTTGATACAGACAACTAAATTTTATTAAGTTTTTTTCTCAAAAATAATCAGCACCAAAATAATTTTAAGAAATTAGACACATTTTAATGGAAAACCGTTTATTTTTCAAATTTTTAAAATGTTTATATTTTTTAGGGAATAAATGAATTCAATGTAAACTTTTTCCAAATTCATATTTTTTGGAATTTCTTCACATGCCTAAGTATAGTATAGCCATTTAATTTTCAGTCTTTTTTTTATTAGTTGTAAAATTAATAGCTAATAATGATCAAAATAATCTCAAAATCTTTAATAATCTGTTTAGTTTTTATCTTTTAGCGTATGATTATCAGTGAAACACATTTTTCAATGTTTAATGTAAGTTTAAAAATAAGATAATACTACTATTTGAAATAAGTTAAAACAGTATATATTTTTAAACATTTAAACTAGTTTAAAGAGCATATAAGGTAAGCAGTAGCAGTATATTCTATAGCGTTTTGGATGTATAAATGCTTAATATTAAAGCTTCATAATTTTCAAACTTCATATTTTATTATGACTTGTTATAAACAAGTATCATTAATGACAGAATTAAGGTACATTCATTTTAGATATTTTGTAATAAAAAATATTAATTTATTTTTGATATTTGAGGCAAGAATTACCTATAATTTAATGAAGAAAATGATGTTTAAAATATTTCTTGTTTTAAATCTTTTATTAATAATATTTCAATTATTTTCATAAGCTTAAAACATAAATACTAAATATAGTTTCATTTTACTGTTACTTTTGGAAAAGTAAAATTTTGAAGATTTGAGAGAGATAAAATGTAATAAGTTATAAATGTACTAGTGTTTTCACATGTTAAGATAATATAATTTTCAAAAATATGTATTATATATTAATATTTTGTTCACATACAAACAAACAATTATAAAGAAACTGAAAAAAACGTATCAAAATCAATAGTAATTAAAAATCTAGCAATAACTATAATAATAATAATAATAATAATTCAAAAAATTATAATATTTAATATTTATATGGTTATGAAAATAAACATTTTATCAACTTGGTGGTAGTGGTATATTTTCATCCAAATCATCATCATCTTCTTCTTCTTCATCGTCTTCTAACTCAGGCATGGGAAATCTTAATATGGCAGCAACACCAGTAATTTGAGATAATTCTAGATAAATAAAAATAAACTTAATATGAAAATGAAAGAACATATGATTAACTTACGCTCTCCAGTTACATGCATGCTTGAAAATATTTTGACGTCACCCCCAGATTCTTTGACACTATCAACTAGTTTAACATAACGTTTACGCTCAGCAATATTCTGACTCCTAAATAATGAAACATTTCTATAAGCAATAATAGTAAAACAAAATGTAGTGCACTGACCTAAATAAACTATCAGTGATAAGTAATGTTTCGATTCCAAGTACTTCATTAGCTTTTTCCACATGATTAATACCATAAAAAGCTCTAGTTGATTCAGATTGCAATGTTTTGTAAAAGTTATCCAATACTTTCAATTCACCTAAAGCTTTTGTGTCTTCAAGTTTTGCAGCTATGGATGGATTTGATAGAACTTCTAAAAAAAATGTATAAATGTTAAATATTAGTTGTAATTGAGTAATTTTTAAATAAAGAAAAAAATTATTTCAATTTAAAAAAAAAACATCAACAGACAAAATCAAAAAATAGTTGAATGTTACATAAGATATATAATTGAAGTAATTAAAAGTCATAAGATATATTTGAATACAGGGTGCAGCAGTCAAACCTGACGATTTTAACAAGAACTGGGTGGCAGGGCTAAAGTGGTAGAGATTTCGGGAATGTTCTTATCGCTTTTAAATACCCGGAATTTAGTAACCATGAAGCAGTGGTCGAGTGAACGACGTGCGATCGCAGTAAAAGCGTATTACAAAAATAATGATAGTTTTGTAGGAGTTCAACATGTGTTTCGCCGACAATTTAGTTTAACTCCTCTCGATCCTGTGCCTTCTTGTGGTACCATCGACCTGTGGGTAAAAAACTTTGAAACCACAGCAAGCACGTCTCAAAACAGAGTTGGTAGAAAACTAGACACTTCACAACGTCATGGGAAACTTTGCTGCCAGACTATCACAATGTGTGGCTAACCAAGGAAGGCATTTGCATGACACAATCTTTAAAAAATGAAGTTTTTAAATATATTACATAAAATTCCATTCGTGTAGTTTTTATTTGTTTGGCAAAAAATTAATAAAAAATTTTTTCTTTAAGTTGATGATTTTAATAAACACATAGTAGTATACACATGTTTATTACCACTTGACAATTATTTGTTAATATAACTTATTTTTAAATTGATAAATTTAACAACTAAACTTTACAACTTTACATAATATATAGAATTAATAAAATAATATAATTTTTATATCTCAAAATGAAAAAACAAACTATTAATAATAAATTATCAATATTTTACCTTTTAAAGAATGTTTGAATCCACTTGATGCATGGGCAGTTATAAATTTAGACTTATTTTCTATAATTGTCTTATTATCTGTTTTTACGGCTTCTTGCATCAAATATTCAAAAAATTGATCCCTCACAAAACCTGGACTTGCAATTATTGTGCACTTAACAATATCAAATCTGATATGACGCAATATTGCTTGCATCACCAAGTCGAAAAATCTTAAAATTCCCTACATTTTTTTTTTTTTTTTGATAATTAATTAATGGTTCCAGAATATATGTTTATTTAAATACTTTTTCATGTTGCTTAACATCTCCTTTCCGTTTTCGTGGTATATTTTGGTCAATTTTGGCACGTACTATAGTCCGACTGCCAGAAATTAAGCATACATGTGCTAATCCTTCTTGCATTATGACTGCCGCTACATCTGCTGTCTAAAATAATTTTGACCTTTTACAATACTGTTTGAATAAAAAAATAATAATCATCTTATATTATATAATTGATAAAACCTGTGCTGGATCGGTAGCCATTTCAATTCTTCCTAAATCAATGGAATCCCATTCTTCTTTCATCAGAGTAAATTTTCTGTTTAATTCCAAATCAATGGTATGATAGGCACCCATCTAAAAAATACAATTATATTACATATGTTTTAAAAAAACACCAGGTAAGTCTTCATACAGTAGACAACTAAAATTATATTTTGAAATTTAAATTCTCAATTCAATGATAAATTGAGCAGAGTAGATCTACCAATATACCAACCTACATTTCTATATATATTTTTATCTATTACTATAAGTAATACATTGAGTTGATCAGTAAATAAATTGCATATATTATGGAATTCATACAGTATGCAATCGATCATGATTGGCTTTTGATCTATCATTATTATATTATATTTTACAAGCTATATAAAACGGTTAGTAAAATAGTATTACGAGTAAAATATTAAACTTTTTGAACTGGTATCTGGTAAAACATGATTAAAAAGCAATTATGATAAATCTGACTGTAATAGTAAGCCCACCCAACAATTAAAACAGTAAAATAAACATAGTACAGGGTAGATCACATATTACATTCTAAATTAAGCGATAAATCGCACAAATGCCTATAATATAATATTACTAGTTGTAATACATATACATTAATACTAAAATTTGTAACCCCCCAAAGGCCCAAAGTATCAACAAAATTCAATTTGTTATCAGAAAACACCATCATAAGTTGAAGAATAAAGCATTTTTACTGCTTTTAAAGGTGATATTAAAAAAAAAAATTTTAATTGTTAGATACTCTCAAAATCTAAAATAATCACTTACTTTGACATACTCATTTTCTTCAATATTTCTTCCTTTTAACCGCAATAGACAAGCTTGAGTGTCAAAATCTACAGACTCTACATTAATAGTTAATGTTGTTCGTACTCGATGGCTAGTGGACGATCCAGTAGCTGATTCATTTTGTACTTTTCTGTAAAATTATAGTAAATATAAGTTTATCTTATACATACCAATTGTGATAAATTTAAAAAGTAGAGCATAGGTATTTACTATTTATAGTAGTTATAAAAATAGATTAGCAATCTAAAACTAAAATAATTTTATACATATTATGTTAAGATCAACAAAACCCTCCTGGGACTTAAACTTTGTCTAAAAAAAATTTGAATCATTAGCAAAGATTTCAATACATAAAAAAGATTTTGTGGGGATTATTTTGAATCACATACCTAAATTTAAACTATATTATGTTTTTAAAAATGTAATTTAGATTAGCTTACTCATATAAATTTCAATAAAATACTTATTTTAATGATAGAATTTAAGAAAATGAGTGAGCCATTTGTAATGAGTTATGACGTTTGCAATCAATACCTTATAGTTGATGCACGGATTCGATCACCTTTTCTTATAATATTGTAGGCTTGCCACATGTCTTCAGCTTCTTCGGGTATAAGTACAATGACCCTAACATATTTTAGAAATAGAATTAAAACTACTGATTGTATAATAACAATTTAACATTATCATCCTCAAATGTAATTAATACAAACCCTTTTCCATCCTTTTCAATGTCTTTATGAACAAGCTTCATTTTGTTATTGCTAAAAATTGTCAGCCATTACAAGATGATCAATACAATACAAATAATAGTGTATGCTTACGTTTAAATTCTTAAAAAGGTTTATTCGACTTTTTAATTAGTGTCATTGTTGACTCAAAACCACGAAAACGTGTCAATAGTACTTAGATAGTTAGATGTTAGATAACAAGTAAAATGTAATATTTATACACATCAGTATAAAAATGTTGAGACTTATCTATTTTTTAATAATATTGATGTTTGATACATTGATTTATTTGATAGACGTTGCATAGTGAACGTAAGACATTATCCAATGACCATTGACCAATGTTCAATGATATCAAATTTTCAAAATATCAAATACATATCAATTACTCGAATCTGCATAATATTATACGGCTCAGAATACTTTATGACGGCATGAAGCGCGGAAATGATAACAGATGTTAGATAGAGATATAGACAATTGACAAGTGAACGCATAATAATAATAGAAAATATTTAAAAACTTAGCTAGCAGAAAAAGACCATTTGAAATGTAAATGTCATTAAAAATATTGTTGCATACAAACATTATATTTTTCGTAATAGTACGATTTAAACAGTATATCTGCATTCTATTTACGCTTTAAATTTTAAATTTTAAAATATCGTCTTAGAATCAACAATTGTTTTGGATACACTGTTCGTTTTTTATATTAGGCGCTTGTTTTTTAATCTTTTATTTTTACCGCAAATTTGTAAAAGAAAACTACTGTTAATAGTGTTATGAGTTCTTTGAGAAATAGGAATGAGGGTTAAAGTAATGTAAGTATTAACATAGGTACAACATTTTCCATTAATTTATATGATATATTGAAACCGAGTGATGTTATACTAGTGTTAAATCTCAATAAGTTTCATCATGGACGAGCGTTGGCAAACATTTTTTGACAAATTTCCAGAGACAGTGACTAGTGAACAATTACCTGTTAAGTTACCTAGATTTGACTTAGACTTATGTGATTTAGCTGGAGCAGCAGCCGACTGGTGTCATCAGTATTTGAAAGACAGGTAAGTTGTTTTTTATATTTTATATGTATACAAAAACTGAACCTGGTGGATAATTATAAATGTAAAAATGTTACTCTCTGTTAGGTTCTTTGCAGAAAATTCTCTCATTTATAATTGTACCATTAGTATGATCCAAAAGAATATCAAATTTGGAACAAATTTTCTCAATATTTTGTAGTTTAGATGTGTGCTTAGGAGCTGCTTAGGTCAGGGTTTGGATAAAGGGCGATAAGGCTAATAGTGGGCTAATAGTGATCCTATCTTAATTTTAAATCCATATATTTTATAGATTTAAGGAAAAACAAAATGCTGCCAACAGTTTTTAGGCCTTTTAATCTCCTAATTGTATCACCCTAAGGAAAAAATATGATTAACTAGCATGTTGATAAATAATTAAATTATGCTTTATTGCTTTATATAGGTACTATATTATATCTTTGTAAAAAATACCATGTATTTAATACTTTAAATTACTTCTTTAAAACTCTTATATATAACCCAGATTGACCAATGGTCGTCAGCTTTGAGGAAGTTCTATGAAACTGACATTAATTAAACTCAAATATAAATATTACCCTTGGAAACTTAATAAATGCTCAACATTTCTAACCATACACTTAATACATTTTATTTAGGTATAATTCCAGTACACAACAAAGCTACATTTATTCTATAAAGAATTTCACACTTCCTCAACATCCCAACACTTTTTAAAAAATGATCGTCCTTTGCATAGGAAATCCTCCAAGATGCTTAACCCTCATTGGTATTGCAACCTTCTAAATTTCTAAAATAGATATAGATAGTGTTAGATACAAATAGGTGGCTTCTTCCATTAAAAATTTCACCTGTATACTTTAACCCCTTTCATATTTACTTATTATTCTCTTCGAAATAGATTGAAAATACTGAATATTATATAAAAATAAAAAAAGTTTCTAATTTATGGTCTTAATCAAATTATAATTACAGTAGTCATTGACACATTGGAAATTAATAGCGGTTTTTCCCTATAGACAATTTCTAGTTTGTTTTTGCATTCCTGTTAACTGACATATATTTATAGCCAGTAGTGGACACATTTATATTCTCTGCTTCCTTTATATGCCTATTTTATGGCTATACATTTATTTTTACAGAAAATGTCCAAGTGACCTCCTTGTATTTTTGACTCAAAAAATCATAAACAATCTTAGAGTCCAGTGGGCAGCTGAACCAAAATTATTTGGATACCGACCTGAAAAAGAGGGTTTGTATTTTTTTTCTTAATGTATTAATTTATTAGTATTAAATACAAATAATAACAATTGTCTTTCAATGAAATAGACTAATTATGGATTATTATTATCTGTGTATGCTTATAAACTTAGTCTTAATGATTCCAAATGTTGTATACTACATTTCAATGAAAATTAATTGTCATCTCTCGCACATCCTATTCTATTTCCCTTGTACGCCATAAGTTTAATTTGATTCAATTCTCTTAAGTCTCTTTAATATTCATTTCAACATCCCATCCATCCTTTAAACTAATTTCCTAATGCCGAACCAGCCATATATATTATAATCGCATTTATTTTGATAGCTGGCTTTATTGTATAATAATTTTGTTAGTTTTATTTTATATAATTATAATTTAAGAAAAAATTCTGGAAATTAATGAAAACAAATTATAGTTCCAGTTTTTAATATCTGTACTATTGTAGTGTTCACCTAATTTTTTTTAATATTTACATTAGATTATCAAGCATTATGGTTAATGCAGAAAGTTATTGGAGAATTAAATAATGTTTGTTTAAATCATGCTACTGTTATTCCATACCATCAACCTATATCAACTCCAGTCTGGTGGTCATCATTTGTGTTAAAAAATGTCAGAAGACAAATGGAAGATTATATTACAGTTGTTCCTTATTTGCATACATTATTTGATGTTAAAGTATGTATTATGATACTAAATTATATGCAGTATATGTTTAAAAACTATAACGTAAATATCATAAAAAAACATTTACAAATAACAAATCAATATTATAAATACTTCAATAAAATTTCTAAAATGTATGTTTATGGTATACTTATTATCGTGGTGTGGCGAAGTGAAATATTTAATTGGAAATTCATTTGTTGAATAACCTACCACCCCATTTAAATAATATAATACTTATAAAATATCATATTCCGATAAAGTTAGTCTTGTACTACAATTTCTCAATAAATCCATTACTCACCCACCTGGTATCCACCCCTTTCAAATTATTGGGCAACTCTCATTCAAAATCACTGTCAATATGCCACTGCCTATTATAAATCAAATATTAATTTTTAATATGTTCATTAAATTAATAATTATTCAAGACTATATTTAAAATGTTAAAATTATGTGTTAGGATTTTGGTGAAGCTTCTTTTTATGCAGTTTATGATGGACATAATGGTTTAGATGCCGCTGTTTATAGTTCAATGTATTTACATCAATTTTTAGTACAGTCAACTCAGTATCCAACTAATCCAGAATACGCACTGTATGAAGCATTTTTTGCTACAGACAGAGGATTTACTCAAAAAACAGAAAAATATGTAAGTTTTATTTGATATCATCCCAGAACACATTTAATAAATTTATTATTTGTACATTTTCTTTCAGAATTTAGTTAGTGGTACAACCGCTGTGTGTGCATTATATAGGCAACAAGAGAAGAAACTGTATGTGGCATGGGTCGGTGATTCAATTGCTACACTGTGGAAAAATGGAACGCCTTTATGTTTAGTGAACAAACACGTTCCCGAAAGATATGTATGTTATTATTATTATAATATGTTTTTATGCATCTATTTTTTACAGAATTAAACATTTCTGAAATTTTGGTCGGTTAAACAATGACATTATATCATAGAACTTATGGTATTTTTCAAATGTATTTTTTTTTTAATTATTCGTTCTTTTAATTTCAAAATGCCAATCAAAAATCGTATGTATTGATATATATATGACAGGGTCACAATAAAGTAAAAATGTATGACAAAATTAAACTATTCTAGCAATGCCTCAAGAATTTAATGCATAATTTAATAGGTTAGTTTTAGTAATGGCTTTATACTCAGAAAGCACACTATTGATAATCTAAGTAGTTACAATTACTAATATAACAAACTGTGAGAAATACTGAATTCATCGTCTTACCTCATCTTCCTTAAAGTGTATAATTTTTATTTATTTATTATAACATTATACTATTGTCTATTACTATAATAAACATGTTGATATATAAAAACAAATTTCTTGTATGTTATTACTTTTATTTTAGGATGAAAGTCAAAGAATAGAAAATGAAGGAGGAATAATATCGAAATGTCAAGGTATTTGGCGTGTAGATGGTCAGTTGGCAGTATCTAGAGCTATAGGTAAATCACATATTTTTAAATTAATAAAATATCTGTATATAATTTATTTAATATTACTATACTGTTTACCTAAGTACAATCAAATACAGTAAAAATCTGTTGATGTGAAATGTAAGGAACTATAAAAATTATACTATTTTTATAACTCAAAATGAGAACACCAACTATGAATGATTAAATATTAATGTTTTACCTTTCAAAGAATAATAGAACCCACTTGATGCATGGTCAGTTATAAATTTAGTTTTTTTTTTCTTAAATTGTCTTGTTATCTGTTTTTACTTGTAGGCGTTGCCTGATAAATTTATATAATGGGGCTATAATAATAATATAGTCCTATAGCCTATTATATTTCTATAAAGTTATAGTTTTCTTAGACCTCTTCAATGCTTATGTTTTTACAGCATCTTGTGTTACATATACAAAATATTTATCTCTCACAAAAAAATCGCTATGTAATAAGAAATTCAAGGAACAACGAAAAACTTACATTCTAAATTAATTCATAACAATTTCTTCTACAGAAAAAGGACTAAAGCTAGTATTAGATGACCTAGATTTTTAAACTATAGTGTGTTAACTAAGTCTTATACTGCAAAGTATTAACAACTAATAATATATGACATCCAATTAAGAGTACCAGTCAAATCTTTAATTTTACAGAAAATCTGATCCTTCTAATTAATAACACTCAGCTTTTAATGCCTAGGAAATATTTCTGATCATCATTAATCTCAGATCTACATATAATCTCTATCCCTAAAATAACATTCATTCTCTACAAACAATATTGACCCTGCATAACCAATCATCCAACACCCCTTATAAATTAACTCACACAGATAATATTTCTAGCCAATTGATAGGGTTAATGTTTTTGATTAGTATAAATACATTTCCTATTGGGTATTTTTAAATTTGTTGTTTGTTAATAACTACACATGATATATGTCAAATGGTAACTAATACTACTACTTTATGTTTATAAATATAATATAATTTGGAATAATCACATAACAATATTTAGTAATAAAATATACTAAAATATAATAAATATCAAACATGTTTTTTTTCATCACTTTTTATTTTAGATTTAAAATGGGTTTGGGTGCTTAAGAGTTATAATTTATGACTATGCAATTTTGTAGTTATATTTAAATTATTTTATATAGATGTATAATGCAACTTCTGCATTGTATGTTATTGGTTTATCTTTGTATCAAACAAACATATTCTTATGTTCTCTCTCTTTAAATCTGTAACTAAATACCTATTATAACAACTAATTTTTATTTTAAGACTTTTTTTTCACAAAAAGAAAATACATTTCATGCAACTTTAAAATTCTAGATTCACCATAATATAGCCCCCAAAAAAGTGTTTTTTAGGTTACTTGTTGAAGACAACATTTAAAACACATTTTAAAATAACTGCAATCTTTAATATGATTAATTATATTCTATATATTATTTTATAGTTTTACCTATTTAAACAAATATTACCAATTTGGTAGACAATCAAATAATTATTGCAACAAAGTCTCAATACATTTTTTTAAAATAACTGGGAGCCCACCCTAGTAGTTGGTTAAGTGTGTTTTGTCTTGTAATAAAATTGAATTTAGGACAATTTCGTCAACATTTGATTTTAATCACTTACCAAAATAAAAAATCGTAACTATATTTTTGATGCATTAAAGTGTTTTAAAGACAGCTCATCAGGAACCTTCAAACCTTGTATAACATTTCAAGGTTTTTGACTAGGCTTTGAACAAAAATAGTATCAACATATTACCTAAATAAAAAAAACATTCAAATTTTCATTAACAGGTTAAAATAAAATACTAATTAATTTGAAAATCATATATCTAGAAATTTCTAATATAAATAATACAAAGTCTCTACGGTATCTCTCAGTGGCGTATATACGAATTATTTTCACTATGGGCCGATTTATCAATTATCACTAGACAAGCAACATAGACATAATTATACATTTTTAAGGGAGCAGCTGTTATATAATTAAGAATTATGACGTATTATACAGTTCAAATAAAAATTGCGCAATTCAATTTTATAATTATTATGTAAAATTAATTTTTTGTTTCTTTTTTTAAAAATATTGACAGTGTCGTTTGTATATTTTAATGTTATCTTACTATGAATTTAACATCAAAGTCAATAAGTCATTAAAGCAAGTCCCGTGAATATAACATTTCCTTGTTGATTCCTCAAAAATGACTTTAATCAACCGGCTAACTTAATCATGGTGAAAAACTGTAAACAGTGTAAATATACATGCAATACTTTAATTGAACCTGCAATTTCACTATGGGCTCTGGCCTAGGGGGCCTCCCCCCTATATACGCCACTGGTATCTCTCCTTTTTGAGTTGCGACAAAAAACAAAAACCAATTTTGTCCTAAACTGGATAGTTGTATAAATATTTTTATTTTCAGCCGTTTTTCGTTAGTTTTTCTTAGTTTTCTATCAATTACTTTGAACTGGAATTTCTTACCAGAAACCACTCTAAAATTTGAAAATATCATTTTTTGATCCCCAATCTCGATGACCGACAAAAAACAGACATAGGAAAACCAATTACCATCAATCCTTTTAGAATCTAAATTATACCCCGTTAAGAAATTACACAATTGATTTTTAAATGACTTTTATGTTTTAATTTTTGGTTATTTTGGGCTTCAAAATTATATTGCACCATAGTATCTTATTTAATTTTCAGATAGAAGTTGGATGGAAAAATAATGATATGTAATCGATGTTTATCGATGTTTAATATTATTTAATGTTTTAGGCGATGTTAAATACAAACCACATATTACATGTAAACCAGAGATGAGATCATTAGTTTTAGATGGAAATGAAGAATTTCTAGTACTGAGTAGTGATGGTTTTTGGGAGTATATGACACCTGAAGAAATAGCAGAGACTATTTACGACGAGTTGCTTGACACTGACGGTGAGTGAAATAAATATAACATATATAAGGGTGATTTTGTTTGGTTTAGCCGTCCCTAAGCTTCATTATAATGACAGTACATAAAAGGGCCCTAGTCAAATGTCAATGCTTCTACATAAAAGACAAATAGCTATTTTTGACTTGTACTCCACACAAAATTGCATTTTGGTAATAAAAGGCAGTATCAATTGGGAAGGAAGGGTCCATCCCTAGTATAGCCTGTAAAAATCAATACATGTACTTAGTGTATTTATTAAATATTCTTATGTATTGACTTTTGTGTATTAATTTCTTCATTAGTTCGATTTTACAACTAAATTACAAGATCAAATACTGTGGTTTTTTAAGAAGATCTGTTACACAGAATTTTCACCAAATAACCTTGTTATGTCCTTGTTTAACTATTGCGGGCCGCGGGGGTATTCAGACTAGACATTAACTATCTATATAGTCCTGTGCACCAGTCGTGTTGGTCGTTTTCCTTCCACGTAGATACAGAGAGCATATACGATTTGTATTGTTATCCCCCACCGAAGCCAAAATAATTTACCATCGATTTTTCACAGAAATCTTTGTCAATCGTCAAAATGACATTGGTCAAATGCTATCAAAAAGTGTTTTAATTTTTTTCTTTTGTTTTCGTTATAATTGCATAATACCTATCTTAGATAAGTAATTCTTCATTTATTCATTAGATATGATGAGTATGAATTAGTTATTTCTTTTTTAAACGTAATAGATGACATTCAAATTTTAAATTTTAACAATAATTTTGATTTAATCTTGAAAGTTCAACGGCAGCTTAAACATTCCAATATCTTGAGGACTCAGGTATTTACATATTTAGATTAAATACATTACAAGGTATATGATGGAATTGTATTTGTTTTACAATTGAACGAATTAGATAACTTTTTTCCGCCTGTTCTCTCTTTCGTGAGGATGTCCCGGCGTCCTGTTAGAACTTTTAACAATAATTTTTAACACGTACTGTTAAATAATGTTATACTATTGACGTCTTTAGATTTTGATAGAATTTACAAGTGTGTACACTGTACAACTTTCTGTGATTCGAACACAAGTTCTTAAGAAAAACATGTTTATAAAATATTTTTGTTGGCCCGTTAAGTCGTCCATTCTTAAATGATTTTTAAGGCATCATGAGAAAACTATGTATGTTCAAGGTCTACTCAGATCTCTATTATAATTGGTCACGCTTCATCTGTGTTGTAGTTTTTCTATTATATTTTATATACAACCTTCTTGCTATACAAATTTTAACTCTAGATTTTTGCTTGTTGCTGCGTTTTAAAGACCCAGAGTAAGAAATAAATCTTTTTGAATTTGTTCATTAATGTTTATTTGTATACCTCGGTATAAGTTTAAGTACGTAAACAATCATTATTTTGTTATTTAAATCATACAGCCATTTTTGTTTAGGTGGTATTAGCAAATAATGGCTTAAATGAATCAACTGAAAAAAACTGACTAAAATAATTTAACCTGTGTGGCTGTTCCTATTTAAAAAAACAATATATTTAATTTATCATAAAATATTTTTAAGTTGACATTTTATAAAAATTTAATATTAAACTACGATATTATTATTTGATTATTATAGTTTAAATACCTCCTCCTCTCAACCGTGTGTACTCCGCGCCACCGAGTGCGTTTATGAACTATAATAGTGGTGAACGCATGGAATAAAAATGGGTATAACGCATTATATATCATATACGTATTTTAATTGTTAGCCAAAAATTAATAATAATAATTACGTCCAATAAATACTCTTTTTACGAATTTAGTATAGTAACCTAATTGACAGGATGTCCTCCAAACGCGATTGATACTATCTGTGTTTTTACCACAGGAAGTGCGCATTGTGATTTGTACTCATGTACAATATGTTCAATATACACTATAATACTATATATACAGTCATATTACAGACGGTTGGGTTATAGTGAGTTGTGGTTATTAGTTATCAATAAAATTCATCTTTTTTATGTTATTTTAACGAAGTCCGAGTTTTTCTTCAGATTTTTCAACGACAACTTTTCTTTAATCAATACAAATATTAAATAATATAATCAACTCCCCATATTAATTACAACTAACATGCAAATGACTGGCTACTAGCTAGGTACTCATAGGCTTTAGATATATAGTGTTATGTTATTAGGATTTATTAAACGACAAAAATACAATGATAAGTACCACTGTTCAAAAAAGCTCTCAAATACTTATATAGGCATTCGAATATTATTTTCATTTTTAGCGAATTTCTTTGTCATCATTTGACAGTTATCAGAGGTGTTCACCGATTCATCTAAGTTCAGAAATATACATTGAACAGAAGCACCAGTGGCAGAAAATAATTTTGTCATTGTGAAGGGGGGAGGGGGTTGCTGATATGAATTGCTCTTTAAACATAAACATTGTGGATTAAATAAGAACATAAACAGTACAACAGTTCTATGACTATACGACTATAGGAACTCTTATCAGAAGTTATTTTATTATTTATAGTCTAAAAGTTTAAAACTAACCATTTCTAAGTATATTATATTGCAACTTAAAATAATTTTGTACCCTACATTATATATACTTTGTCTCCAAGTAAATACAAATCAGGTAACTTAATATTTCTTTTCATATACCGGATATACTAATTTACGACTATAAACTTCGTTCCCCGATAGAAAGTGGTTACTTCACGCAAAAGACTTGCGCTGATAAATGGTGATTTGGGTGGTTGCAGCTTGATAGTTGATACGCCGCATTTTGGTTTGTGCTCGACCACATTATTTTGCAGAACGGAGTATACACTTCAATACTATTCGGCCACCATTGAGTATTTTAAACAATAGCTGCAGAGTAGTGAACGTCTGTATGAGTTGTATAAAATAGTATGCATACTATATAGTATATATATATATTATGTTGTTTGTGGTTACTTAATATTATATGGGTATACAGGGTGATTCGTTTGGCAGTTAACATAAAAATTCTCGAAATGTATGAACGTTTTTCAGGTATAGTATTTCTTTTTACATAATCTGAAGACAATAAAACAAACATTTTTACTAGTTTTGATCGTTATAATTTCAGATGTAAGCTTTTACTTTTTTGCACGATAGAGCTACATTTTTAATTTCATTAGATCCTAAGCAAAATATTTTATTATTTTCTGAGGATTTTGATTTAGGTACATAGAAATTTAATTTTAGACGAATAGTTAACTGTAGTGATAAACCATGTTATAACTTATAATTTACAAGTATTTTTAAGTTTGATGAGTGGTTTAACTCTTAACTGCTCTACACTGCTCAGTTAGACTTTAAATACTTCAAAATGTATAACTAATTAACTACTCGATTGAAATTTCATTTTTATACTTATGAATCATCAGAACAACATTCTGCTTCAGAATGTGATGAAATAAAAATGTATGCTATCATTCAAATAAATAAAACTTAGAACATTCTATTAATAAAAAATAGTAGAAGATATCATTCATTTTCATACATTTTGTTTTATTATGAATTCAAAAACAAATATTTTCAAAAACGCTAGTACTTCTTGAGATAATGAGTGTTAATTGTTAAAAGAATCATACTGTATGTACCTATAACCTTATTTCGTCAGGCGACGACAAATTTTACCAGACAGCACATTCCCTTGATTAACCCGGATATCACGTACTTAAAACTGTATATTATATTGTTTATTTCGGTAAATGACCTCATCTGACGCTTAAGCACGTTTTTTGAATGCAAATTTTTTCGTCACTTTTTCATTAGAATTTGTTATCTATAAGTTCTAAGTACTATATACTGGTTATTTGTGATTAGAACAACAGTGTTATGCCTATAGTATATCTTGATATCTAAATCAAAATTATTATCATGGAATATATTTTGTTAGGCTATCTTCATTTGAAATTCATACTTTAATGACAAGTCGTAAATTTAGCCATACAATTTGAAATTGTGTAATTTTAATATTTTACCAAGTAATAATCATATATAATATATAGTATATATTATATTGCTTAAACCGACAACGTTGGGGGAACTTGTAATATAACTTGCTTTTCCGACATAATATTGTATATATTTTATAGTTTTATAGTTGTGATTTTAATAAGAGTGTAACACTGTAAGTCTATAAATTATAAATTATAGTAGCACAATACGATTTAAACAAAATGTACAAGGATTTATTTGTGTTTTTTTAAATTTCTGTATAGTTAATGATTTGAAGTGTTTTTCATTTGTAAAATTAAACCTATAATTTCCAATAGTATAATATTATGTTGGTAGTATTGAAATTAAAACTAAGTAATTTATATTTTGTTTTATAACTGTCAAAAGTATATAATACTAATGTCACATTCCCATATTTATAACAATTTTAATCAAGTAATGCAAAAAATGATTACTTTGACGAAAATTCTACTCTTACAAATGTATATGACTACGTAATCTATTTATTTTTCTATATCCAATAATCAATCTCACCGCTACTGAACAATAACTTTTTTTTATGCATACATATTTTTCTATACCTGTAGTCAGTGGTGTAGGTAGCCTATTTTGCGTGTTGGTTCTTGTGGTTATGCTCAATACAACTATTTACTTACATAAATAGAATTGTATAGTTTATGTTTGGTTCATTGTTTTTCTATCCCACTCATTTTTATTCTCTTTCTCTTTTGTTTTAGCTTTTTCTATTGTGCAATAAATGGTTATTATTTATCATTAATGCTGTTGCGCATTGTTATGACACTTACGTTTTCGCATATTTAACGATATAAGATTTTCAATAACGCTTACAATGTTTTTACAGTTTCATTTTGTACTATATGTTTTTATTTTTATTTTTAGGATTATTTACTGGTTGTTTAATGTGTCATTGCAGAAAAACGATACGATCTATTTGTACATAAAAAAATCATATACCGTCCGCACGCAATATAAACAAACACCTTCATG